CCCATCTCTGCTCACTCTCTCCTCTTGTTCTGCCCTCCTTCAGACTGAATTTGTTTTTAAAGATTTAGTTATTTATTTGAAAGGCAGTTACAGAGAGGCAGAGGCAGAGAGAGAGAGAGAGAGACAGAGAGAGACACAGAGAGAGAGAGGTCTTCCATCCGCTGGTTCACTCCCCAGGTGGACACAACAGCTGGAACTGTGCCAATCCGAAGCCAGGAGCCAGGAGCTTCCTCCAGGTCTCCCACATGTGTGCAGGGGCTCAAGCACTTGGGCCATCTTCTGCTGCTTTCCCAGGCCACAGCAGAGAGCTGGATCAGAGGTGGAGCATCTGGGACTCCAACCGGTGCCCATATGGGATGTCGGCACTGCAGGCAGTAGCTTTACCCACCACCACAGCGCCAGCCCCAGAATGAATGTTTTTATGGTTTTATTTTATCTTCTTTGTCAGCTTATTACCTATAACTCTGGGATTTAATGGATGCATCAGAGTTTAACTTGTAACATTCTACCTTTAAGTAATATTACACCGTTTTGTGTATAGCTTAAGAACCTTGTAATATGAGAAGCCTCCAAACAGTTCATAGAAAATATATTATTAAAAACTAAATGTTGGGCTGCGCTGTGGTGCAGCAGGTTAATGCCCTGCCCTGAAGCGCTGGCATCCCATATGGGCGCTGGTTCGAGACCTGGCTGCTCCATTTCCGAGCCAGCTCTCTGCCATGGCTTGGGAAAGCAGTAGAAGATGGCCCAAGTCCTTGGGCCCCTGCACCCACATGGGAGACCGTGAAGAAGCTCCTGGTTCCTGGCTTTGGATCGGCACAGCTCCAGCCATTGCAGCCAATTGGGGAGTAAACCAGCGGATAAAAAACCTCTCTCTCTCTCTCTCTCTCTCTCTCTCTCTCTCTCTCTGTAACTCTGACTTTCAAATAAATAAATCTTTAAAAAAAAAACTAAACATGGATTAGAAATAAGTTTGTACCAAAATAAATACATTTTTATTCCTTTTTTAAATGTTCCCCCCAACCCTAAAGCTAATTTTGTCATTTGTTTTCTTCAACACGTTATCATCCCACACTGTAGAGTTGTTATTTTAAGTCAATTATCACTAGAATGATTTAAGCAACAAATAATATTTTCCAATTCCCTTCTTCAGTGCTTGTGTCATATGCTTTATTAGTTTTAAAACTCCCAGTATATGGGGCCAGCGCTGTGGCTCACTTGGTTAATCCTCCACCTGCGGCACAGGCATCCCATACGGGCGCCAGGTTCTAGTCCCGGTTGCTCCTCTTCCAGTCCAGCTCTCTGCTGTGGCCCAGGAGGGCAGTGGAGGATGGCCCAGGTCCTTGGGCCCCTGCACCCACATGGGACACCAGGAGGAAGCACCTGACTCCTGGCTTTGGACGGGCGCAGCGCCCATAGCGGCCATTTGGGGAGTGAACTAATGGAAGGAAGACCTTTCTCTCTGTCCTTCTCTCTCACTGTCTATCTGTCAAATAATTTTTTTTAAAATGCCCAGTATAATTTATTCTACTGTTTTGCCTTTTTATATACATGCTGTGTATTGTTTCCTAACATTACCGCTTCATGCTCTTTTTTTAAGGTTTATTTTCTTTATTTGGAAGGCAGAGTGACAGAGAAATAGGGTTAGGCAGGGAGAGAAAGACGTCTCCCACCCTCTGGTTTACTCCCAAATGGCCACAACGGCAGGGCAGGGCCAGACCAAAGCCAGGAGCCGGGGATTCCATCTGGGTCTTCCACATCGATATCAGGGGCCCAAGTACGCGGGCCGTCCCTCTGCTGCCTTCCCGGGCACACTAGCAGGGAAATGGATCAGCTGCCAGACAGCCAGGACTTGCACTGGGGCTCCAGTATGAGACGCCAGCATCAAAGGCAGTGGTTCAACCCACCGCACCACAACACTGGCCCCTGCTGTTTCTCTGATGTCAGAATTAAAGGACTATTTCTTGAACATTATTCTTGCATGAAAGAAAATTATAATACCTTACATGATTTTTTTAATTCTCTTTTTTTGAAGAGTTATTTATTTATTTGAAAGATGAAGTTACAAAGAGAAAAAGAGAGATCTTGTATCCAGTGGTTCACTTCCGAAACAGCTTCAATGGCCAGGGCTGGGTCAGGCTGCGGCCAGGGCTGGGTCAGGCTTCACCCAGGAGCATGGACCCCATGTGTCTCCCACGTGGGTGGTAGGAGTCCAAGTCCTTGGGCCATCTTCTGTTGTTTTCCTGGCACCATTAGCAGGGAGTTGGCCTGGAAGTGGAGCAGCCAGGACTTGCACCAGCGCCCACGTCCAGTGCCCGTGTGCCAGGAGGCGGCTCAGAGCTGTGCCACAACTCTGATTCCTTGATTCCTTTCAATAAAATGTCATCCCTGGACCAAAAGGCTCAACCTTCATTCTGATACAGTCAGTAACTTCACTTTGCAACTAGACTGGAAATTTTAAATAAATGGCAGCATCAACACTGAGGGTACCTGCTTCTTATTCTGTTAAAGCAAAACCTACACAATTGTGCAGAGTCCTGTTTCCACCCCCTTATTTTGCAGAATTTGCCCTAAAGTATTGATTGGGTCATTATTAACCCATAGGGGGCATAGACTGACTTAATGAAACATTATTGAAACATAATGAAACATGCATACAGTGTAAGGAGGATTATGGTTATGCATCTGCCAACACACATACCCAACAAGTACAAAACAGTAAGTGTTGTTTATCACAACCAAACCACCAGACGAGTGCCAACAGCAGCACCACGGGCCTCTAGACCATCTGCAGCATGTAGCTCCTGTCTGTCTCGGAGGAAGAACAAGACAAGCAGAATCGTCTGCTCCTATGTTAAGCAGTTGTAGGACTGGTGCTTGTTAGACAATACTGAGATCACAAATTTCAAAGAAGCAGCCAGCTTGCTCCAGACCCTGATTACGAAGGAGATGACCCTGAACCAAGGGGAATGACACACTCAGGGGAGGGAGGGTAGCACTGTGGTCGCCATGGCGCAGCAAATGGAGCCGCCTCCTCCGGGGCAGGCATCGCATATGGGCACTGGTTCGAGCCCGGCTGCTCCACTTCCAATCCAGCTCCCTACTAATGGCCTGGGAAAAGCAGCAGAACACGGCCCAAGTGCTTGGACCCCTGCACCCACGTGGGAGACCCAGAGGAAGCTCCTGGCTCCTGGCTTCAGGCCAGCCCAGCTCTACTATTGCCGCTACCTGGGAAGTGAACCAGCAGGTGAAAAATCTCTCTTCTTCTCCTCTCTCTCTCTGACTGTGGCTCTCCCTTTCTCTCTCCTTAACTCTGCCTTTCAAATATTTAAATATGTTTTTAAAAAGTAAAGAAAAACAGCTTTGATCTTGTTCAGGGGTGTTCAAGAAATGGCCCGGCTGCAGCCATGAGTTGTTCGGATGTAACAGACAACGGCAAACTCAGCATTTACAGTTTGCCCATTTAGGGAATGATGCATTCACGTAATGATCTGGCGAGAGGGGAGTGTGGGGAGTGTGAACTCGACAGCCATTGTGCTCAAGTCCGAATCCTGGAAAGGATTAAAAGATGTCACTTGTGTATTTTCATTCTCATATTCTGCAGTCCAGGCATTATTGTTACAAAGATAAAACAATCACTTCTAAAGGTTTTGAGTTCATATAAAGTTAATTTACTAGCAACAGACATTTCTGAATAACATCATGGAAGAAAATCCACAAATTGAGAAATTGAATTTTTTTCTAGCCTCATTATACAATAATGTTATAATTTCCTTATTTGGAATTAGTTTAAAAAGGAGAGGTTTAATGGTCAGCTCTCCCTCCTCCGAACCAACTTGCAGCCTCTTCCCATGCGTGCCCCACTGTCCCCACGGAATAACCAGGAAGACACTGTTTGCATTGGCAAAATTGTACTTTTTGGCATCTGAACTCGGAACCAGGACCCTACCCTCATTCTACCTGTACAAGCCCCTTCAGGAGGGGCCATGTCACTCAGCCTCCCCACAGCCCTCAGTGATGGGACAGGGTGTGTGCCCCACAGCATCTCTGCAAATCCATGGCCCGGGGAGCTGAGAGCCCAAGGCAGCACCGTGGCCCTGGTCCCCGTGCCCAGCAGACAGGCACCTACTCTGGGGAGGAACCACCTCCCTCCCGGCGGGCCAGTAGATGGGGAGTCTACTCAAAATATTCTCCCAACACATTTATGAGTTGGGGATGCTCACCACGAATAACAATAAAAGCAAGGAGAACTGCGAATGGAAGTTTACATACAATATGCATATTCTGCCCAGATCAAAGCCGACTAAAATTACACTAAAAATTGAGCGTTTGTGCTCAGGATGGCAGAAAAGCTCATTTCTGTCTTGGAAATGTCAGAGTCTAAAGTGGAAGCAGCAGAGCCAGCAGGGCCTCCTGGAAGAAGCTCCAGCAACTCCGAAGCCCCAGTCTCTTCCCACTTGGCCTTTAGAGCCCCTGCCCCTGCCCCTGCCCCTGCCCCTGCCCCTGCGTGGGTCCCGGCCCCTCCTGAGCCAGCTCTAAAGGCCGTCTGTAGCTTTTAGGAGGCAGGGGTTTGGGGGTCTGCAATAAGGGTTCCACCACTAGATGGAGAAGTCACCCCAATCCAGCCCCAAACAAGCAGCGGGACAGAAATCTATCAACCGCATCTGTTCAACTCTGCTTCAGCTGGGAACTCACTCAAGCGCTCCCACGCGTCAGGTGCGTGGCCTCTTCCGGTCCTGGCGCGTCGGCGTCACTCACGTTCCTCTGATTTGGTGCTGAGTTTTCAAACCTTCTGAAAACCATTCAACATTCTGCACCGGCGGGCAGTTAGCACTGAATAAGGATATGCAAATTTCGCTTCCATTTCCGCGGCTGACTAGCTAGAATCTACAAGTCCACAGGAGACTACAATGCTTCTTTGGGGCCAATTCTTCACGACCAGTTAAATTCAACAGCAACATCTCACCCGGAGGAGTAAGAGGGGTTTGAATAATAACTACAGCAACCAAACTTTGCATATTGCCTTTATTTCGCAGAAAATGCTTTCTGCTGATTGTCTCTGGCTACTTTGTCAAAAGGAAAATATAAAACAGTTGTAGGTTTCACAATACAAGAGGTTCGCTACATATGCTTCAGATGAACACCCGCTAGTGAGCACAACGCAACTACAGCCTGCTGTCCCCAGCTACGATCCCTCCTGTCCAGAACAGCCCGCCCTAACTACACGGAACGCAACAAGGAAGGGAGCCACAGGGTGCTGTCGCCTCACTAACAGAGCCAGCGCACGGCGAGGCCCCTCAGAGCTGTGCAAGAAGTCTTGTCACCATCAACAGCGGGGAACCAGGCCAACGGCCCGCAGTCCAGACGTGGCTGCCAGGCTGCCAGCCAGCAGACCCCGGCAAGGCACGGTGGGGCTCCAAGTGGACGGCTCTCACAGGCCGCTGACCCTGGCTGCAATCCCTTGATCCTCGGGGCTGCCGTCCTGTCCCCGGGGCTGGATCCGCTCAGCACTGGCAGCCCCAAAGGCCTCTGTGTCCTGGAAGACACGGGCTTGGCTCACATGGAGGGAGGCGGCACGGGCGTCCATGAGGCTAGCAGGCGGCCTTGGGCCGAGGCGTCATACTGGCTGTCAGGAATGTCTGTGACCGTGGCAGCCCCGTCGTAGAGCGGGGAGCCCGAGGAGGCGGCCGGGACGCCGTGGGTCAGGGGAGCGTAGTGTGCGGGCGAGCCTCGGAAGAACTGGGCCCCCAGCCCGCTGGACACGGCAGCCGTCTGGGAGCCGGGGGTGATGGCACTGTTGCTCACAGCCCACAGGCTTGGGTATTGGCTGGAAGGGAAAGCACAGGGGTCACAGGGCAGCCGTGGGGGAGCCCGTGAGCCGAGTCCTGTCCGTAATCACTGCGTGACCGGTATGGGGGCATGGGAGTTATCGTCTCCAAGCAGGAAGCCAGCGCGGACTGAAAGGCCTGGTGACACGGACGCGGCTCAGGGTGGAGCGCTCCGAGGCTCTGCGGCCACCACTCCAGGCCGGCTGGGCCCGGCTCACATTCGGAACACAAGCTCGGGCACTCTGCTCTGGGAGACAGGCTGCAGTGTGTTTTTAGCTAGCACCCCCCACTCTACTCAGGGGTCCTCAGGACGGAGACCAGCCTCTGCTGAAGCCCCAGGAGAGAAAGGCATTCTGGGAGGGGTGCGGGTCTCTGGGATAGAAAAGCCAGCAGGCTCATTTCCTTAATTTAACAGCTGGTTTCCGTCCGTTCTTCTCTTCCCACGACACCTACTGGCTCCAACGAGCCTGGAAGAGACAGTCTGAGGCTGGGGTCACTTAACGTCCCCTTTTTACACACGGAGAGATCAAGGCTCAGCAAGGTCAGCAGGCTGTCCACCCCACTCTGCAGGCTGCACGCGAGAGCCGGGGTCTGTTAGGGTGCCAGCCAACCCGGCAGCTCGCCACCCCGCCATGAAGGTGCACTGTTCTAGAGAAAGACGCGGGTCCTCCCTGAGAATGGAGCAAGCAGAAAGGCAGCTGTCACAGACCCGGGGCACAGGGACACACAGGGCTAATGGCGGGATTGTAAACAAGAACCCAATCATGGGCAGGTACAGGGCGGGGCAAGAGTAAGGGGTAAGGGTGGAGGGGAGTGAAGTGGAGAGAGCATGCGGCCGCCGCAGCTCCCAGCAGCGGACACCGCTCAGCAGACGTACCTGGAGCCGGCGGGCGGGCTGGCGTTGTGGCTCACGGGGAGCACGCCGCTGTGAGCAGGCACCCCCAGGCTGGACCAACTGTCGTGGGACGGCAGCATGGGCAAGCAGGCAGAGGAGCTGTCGGGGTAGGCTAAGGGCACGGGAGAGTGGAGTCACTGTACGGACTCCCAGGGCAAAACGCATGGGAACCACCCAACAGCGACAGCAAACTGGCGGTGCCTAACTAGTCGCCCAGGGCTAGGATTTACCGCCAAATGTATACACTTGGAAATGCATCATCAGAACGGCAGACACACTGTAGAAGGTGAATCCTAGTCACTTGGCTAGGGAGGCTTCATCTTCGTAAAGACTTTAAAAGGCTGTAATTCCCACCCCCTTTTTGCCGAGGATTGCTATGTAGGGTTGAATGCGCCGTAGCAGCTGCGACTCGGGGCAGAATTAAAACTGTGCCGTGGCGTAACAAGTAAAGCAGCCACCTGAGACACCGGCATCCCATCAGACTGCGCCACGTCTGACCCAGCTCCCTGCTAACAGCCTGGGGAAAGCAGCAGAAAATGGCCCAAGTGCTTGGGCCCCTGCTCTTAAATTGGAGACCCCTGAGTGAAGCCGCTGGCTCCTGGCTCCTACAGCCATCTGGGAAGTAAACCACTGGATGGAAGATCTCTCTCTCTCTCCCTCTCTCTCTCTCTCTCCCCTCCCTGCCTCGTCTCTCCCTGTCTCAGTAACTCTTTCAAAATAAATAAACCTTTTTCAAAAGCAAAGTAAAACTCGTATCGTGCAGCCTGAGTTCAGCTCACGGCTGAACAAGTCCCAAGCATTTCCTTGCCCACTGAGTGCCTTTCATTGGCGATCACTGTAATAGCTTAATTGTTTTATGGTGTTCTTCAGCTCTTTTCCTCCTTTGGGAGCCAGACAAAGTGAAGTCTGGGAACAGAGGGAGTCAGAGAGAGTCGGGCAGGCATCAGATCACACACCCATCCCGCTGTCCCCCGCCCCCAGGGCTTCTGACTCTGTGATGCCCTGGTGGCTGGTCTGGGGACCACACTTGGCACATTCCTGGGCTGCCCAGGGACTCCGGTGCCAGACTCATCCAACAAAACCACTTCAGAGAGGGTCTTAAACACGCAAAGCTGAAGACCCGCCCTGGGCTCTCTGTCCCCTGGGGCCCCAGCCTCAGCGCCCTGCCGGCAGTGGTGCAGACAGGAAGTGACCGTCTCTGCAGCCCCAGGGAGCTGGTACGGCCATGGGTTCTCAGCCGTGGGTTCTCAGTCCTGGGTTCTAACACCTTGCAGAGTCCTGCCCATCACCCACAGGCCCCCGGGGGACAAGGGCCGGCACTTACTTGGAGAGTTGTTCCTGTGAGCGTAGGGGCTGGGGTAAGGCGATGAGCGGTGGCTCCTCAGGGCCGGGTACCTCTCGCAGCCATGAGCGGAAGGCAGAGAGAGGGAACCTCCAAACTGCGGGTGGGGGCTGGCAGGCGGGCACAGGGCACTGGGTCCGGGGATGAGCCACCCCCCTGCTGTGAGGAAAGAATGCTGGGGAGCCTGAGGGGGCACGCTGCTCCCTCCATGTCCTCCCAGGGCAGCCAAGGCGCCCGCTCAGCCAAGGTGCCCACACCCATAGGTGCCCAGGGCCACAGCCAGTCAAGCGGCTTCCCTGGCCTCTCCTGGGATCCACCAACCCCCAGAGCAGGGCAGCATTGTGGGCCCAGATCCAGCGAAGAATGAACGTGATCTAAAGACAGACAGAGGCAGAGCGCCATGGGTGCCACTCCCGCTCCCGCCCTGCACCTGCACCTGCCTCTCTCAGTGGCACTCAGGGAGCCGCTGGTCTTGCCTGGGGCGTCAGAAAGTCCTCTGAAGCTGCCCTGTCTGACCTGCTCTGCCTTCTTCAACTTCAAAAATTTTTTGTTTTTTTATTTTATTTTATTTTTTGACAGGCAGAGTGGACAGTGAGAGAGAGAGACAGAGAGAAAGGTCTTCCTTTTGCCGTTGGTTCACCCTCCAATGGCCGCCGCGGCCGGTGCACCGCGCTGATCCGAAGGCAGGAGCCAGGTGCTTCTCCTGGTCTCCCATGGGGTGCAGGGCCCAAGCACTTGGGCCATCCTCCACTGCACTCCCGGGCCACAGCAGAGAGCTGGCCTGGAAGAGGGGCAACCAGGACAGAATCTGGCGCCCTGACCGGGACTAGAACCCGGTGTGCTGGCGCTGCAAGGCGGAGGATTAGTCTAGTGAGCCGTGGCGCCGGCCTCTTTTTTTTTTTTTTTTTTTTTAAATCAGAGAATATATCCCTCAGTGGGACAAGTCTTGGCTCTGATTTTCAAACTACAGACGGCTCTTGGGCCCATAGAGGAGGCAGTGGCGCACAGCCTCGCCCAGCCTCCCACGCTGCTCCCCAGTAGGAGCTGTGTGCCGAATTAGCCCAGAACTCGATCAAGGCAAAAGGCCCACGCCATGCGCAGCCTCTTGGAGTGACCAGAAAACAGGGGCTTTAGCAACCCCGCAGGCCTCTGGTTGAATGTCCACGCGCCCTCCCTGGGGGGAAGGGAAGGATTCCACAAGCAGTGTCGCTACAGACCTGCAGCCAGAGCCGCCCCTCCTACAGCCACACTCCTCACCAGACCAGCGAGTGGATGCGCCATCCCCAGAACCAGCGTGGGATGAGGGAAACACTGGTCGCAAGCCTCACCCCAGAGAGGGCCCTCCAGTTCCCCAACATTAACACAAGCAGCATCCGTCCCCAAAAGGACAGGAGAGCCAGACTCTCCAGACAGGGGGTCTGAGCCCCCACAAGGTGTCAAGGACCCTGACCAGCAAGCTACGGAACAGAGGAGCCCGGGGAGCAGTGAGGGCAGAGACGGGTGACACAGCCCCAGCATCCGAGTGACCTGCCCAGCAGCAGTGGGAGCCGCTCCCCACCCACACCCGCAGCTGGCTGCTCCACCTCCAGCTACGAGTTCTCAACACAGGGCGCAGGTGCCGGAGAGGGCGCGGAACCTACATTGGGAGTACCCCGGCTGCTGGCCGTCTCCAGCCTCCTCCATCGCGTCCTTGTGGTCGCTTCTGCGGGGAGAGTGCCGGGAGTGGTCATCATGCAGCAAGGGCTCGCCCCCCGCAAACCTCTCTGCCCAGGGGAAGCTGGGATCCTCTCACCTTTCCTTTGCATCCAGAAAAGCTTTGGCAAATGGATTGTATTTAATCTTCAGAGCTGTGATCTGAGAAACAAGAATCAGCATTAACTTGTGTATTCCTTCTTAGCCACAGGATTAAATCTGGCATCAAGAAAGCGAAAACACCAGGAACCTCCTCTAAATATTCAAGTATAACCTGACTTCTTCCCGAGTATATTTTTCTATTAAAATAGCACGTTTATAAAATAACCTTAGCCTACACCACTGACAATATGCCACGGTTAAAAAATTTGAAGTGGCTCAGAACATCTGGAGCTGCTTTTGGAAACAGTGGCCTGTTAGTTCTCTTTTGTGGTTAACACAAAGGCTTAACCAGTGGCAAATTCTGCCCCCACTGGGGTGTTGTACCTCTTGACTTTGGGAAGACGCCCCTCACACCCCATCTCCTTCAAGAAACTGAGTGCTTACTCTAAACGCTGTTCTTTTCACTTCGTGCATTTAGTAGATGTGTGCAGTGTACACTCTTTTATGGAGAATTCAGGGGGAGATGATTGAGAGAGGACTTTATTAATCATTTGAAAGGACGCTAAACCCTGGGGGTCTGGGCGTGTGCGGCCCCCCAGTGGGGGCGGCCCCGGGGCGCCTGCGCCCTGGCCTCCTGGGCTGCCCTCACCTCCTCGTTCTGGTAGGCGGTCACGGCGATGAACTGCGTCTCGGGGAAGCAGTGGCTGGTGATCATCCGCTGCGGACCGCCGACCCTCACGATGTGAATCCGGGGCTCATACTTGTGTAAGGAGTTCAGCATGATCTGCGGGAGACGGAGGAGCCGTCACAGCGCTGCCTCGGGGCACAGCCACGCAGCCTGCGGTCCCGCTGCCTGCCGGGCCGAAAGCGGGGAGGAGGCGGTTCCCTGCGCCCCGCAGGTCCTCTGGGAGGGCTCGCGGGAGGCCCCGCGCAGCCAGCAGCGACGTGCGCGCCACTGGCTCCACACCCCGGGATCAGCAGGGATGCGTCCGAGGAGGGCCAGGCCTCCGCGGATAACATGAAAAGCCCGGACTTGAGGGCGACTTGTCCTGGGACGTGGAGTCTTCCAGGAACGACTCCCGGCTAAAGAAAGCTCTCCTGCAAGGGCGCGCTCGGCGGCGGTGGACACTGGTGCCGGCCCTTGCCCTCCGCCGGCCTGCTCACCACCTCCGCCTTTGGAGCTAAGCTTGGGGCTGGAACTGGAAGGCTCTGAGGCTGGAGCCGCCCCACTCCCGCTTCGCTGCCTTGGCGTGGCCCGTTATCAGCCGGAATAAATGGCACCGAAGGCTTCACCCCGAGGACCGAGTGCAGACAGGCAGAGTCGCCGGCGGTGCCAGCGGAGTCCCCACCCGCACTCCCGCATCGCTTCTCCGCGCCGCGCAGGGTGGCTCGCTCTGGGCACCGCCTCACCTACCTGGCCGCCTCCGTTGAGCTTATTGGTGAGCTTGACTTTGCTGAAGGAGACAGGCGCCTTCATCCAGTGCGCCCCGAAGTTGGGCGAGTCGGGGTGGATGTAGACGCAGCTGGGTGCCTGAGGCTCTGGCTTGCCGCCTGGCACCCACTCCCCATTCACGAACTTCCAGCGGTGGCTGTCGGCCGCCACGAAGTCCAGCAGGAAGGAGTACATGGCGTTGGGGTCCAGGCCCGACACGTTCACCTTCAGCACCGGGAACATCCGCCTGGAAAAGAGGGGTCGCGCAGGAGGACCCGGGTCGGACCCGCCAGGCCCCAGGCAGAGCGCTAGGTACGGAGGGACGCGTTCCGTGGGCGAGAAGAGGAGACCCCGCGCCACCCCCCAAGGGCGACTCCCTAGGTCCCAGGCCCAGGCGGCCTCCGCGCCATCCCCAAGGCCTCGGAGGCCGGGACCGAGAGGCCCTGCGCGGCGGGGAAAACGCGTGAACCCAGACGCCCCCCAAGTCGGGACCCGGTGCTCCGGTCCCTCGTCCCCGGCTTCCGTGGAGACAGCCCCAGAAGGGAGACATGCGGGGGCCCTGCCGACGGCAGCAGACAGGAGAAAGCATCCTCGTCCCGGAGAAAAAGCGACGGACAGCGAGGGCCTCGCCAGCGCCCAGGCCGCGGGGCCGCCTACCTGCCGTTCTTGGTCACGATCATCTCGTTGGTGAGCTCCTTGAAGCGCAGCCACAGCTCGCTCTCCTCCAGGCCCACGCGCAGCTGGCGCTCCGTGGGGTCGCCCTTCTCGCTGCCCGCCTGCAGCTCGCTCTCCACGGCGCTGAGCAGGTGGTCCACGCGGTACTGCAGGCTCTTCCCCGCGCTCTCTGCGCCCGGGGAACCCATCCTCCCGCCCGCCCTCCCCTCGACCCCGAAACCCCGACTCGCTACCGGACAGCCACCGTCAGCCCCTCTTCAGAACAGGGGGCCGCTTGGCGGGTCGAGACCCGCGACGGCGCCCTGGCCACAGCGCCCAGGGCGTGGGAGAGGGCCGGGATGGGGGGGAGGGGGCAAGGGGAGAGGGGTGGGGGGCCGGTTATTCCACTTGAACTCCCGTAGGGGCGCGCCTAGAGTGGGTCTCTGGAGAGAGAAATCGGGTCCCCTCCCCATAAATAGCGCCGCGGCAGCCGCGGAGGGGGCGCGGCGGATTGGGCAGCGCGGCCCTTTGAAGTGCCGGACAGCAGCCCATTGGCCGTGCGCGGCCATATCAGACCCGGCCGGGCGGGCCGGGGGCCAACAATGGGCTCCTGCGCGCCAGTTTCCTGTAAATCCTGGGCTCCGGCCCAGCCCCTACACCCCCGCCCTGCCCCAAATGTTTGCACCTCCATCAAAGCGGCGGGGCGGGCCCGCGGGTGCGGGAGGAGGGAGGGGCGTGGGGCGCCGGAGCCCGCCCAGCCCGCACCTCGGCGAGGGGCTGCCGAGTGCCTGGGACACTCTCAGTGCAGCGGTGCCACGGGTCCCGCTGCTGCGCCTGGCTGGAGGGGCCCCGCGGCTCTCGCCTGCGCCCCAAAGGGAGGCGTCTCCATCCCCTCCCGGCCGTGAGCGCTCAGAGCCCGGGCGCTCCGCGCTAGTCTGGCTCCTCCAAAGCTCGAGTCCTCAGGTCGGGCCGTCTGGGTACACCTGTGCCGACACACCTGTCTGGAGAGGGAAACCCCCCGCAGCGCGCGCGCGCAGTCTGCGCAAGGGTCAGCCTCCGCGCGCCGGGAAAATGGGTGGACGTAGACCCACCGCCCCCAAGTAGGGAGCTTCCTGGCTCCGCGTAGGAAGACGAGAGCGGGTGGCGAGGCTGCGCGGGCACCTCGGTGGCCCCGGAGTGGGGCCCGGCGGTCCCGGGAGAGCCGCGCTCGGGGCGCGCTGCCCCGCCGGCCCGCCCCGCCCCGCCTGTCGGTTTATTACCTTTCCGTGAGAACCTCTCCGAGGAGAGTGAGGGAAGGTGACAAGGAGCAGGAAATAGTTCAATGAGGTCTCTTTAAACAATCGCATTCCTCCTGAAACGGGAGCCCGGGGGACGGACGCCCTGGCCTTGTGCTTCTGCACTGCTGCTCTCGCATTGCTGTGGCCAGGCCGGCGGCGGCGTCCCGGGATCCCCGCGCGCACCCACGCCCTCTGGAAGGAATCGGGGCAGGAGCTGGGGCAAGTCGTTCCACGCAGCCTTCCCTCGCACTGGGGTTGTCCCGGCCGGCGCGGGACGTGCGCCCCGGGCTCTGGGCTCTGGGCTCGGGGACTGCTGGGCCAGCCCCCAAGTGGACACGGCGTCCCCAGAGCGCTCCCAGGAGCCAGGAACAAGAGGACGCGCCAGGGTGCGGAGGGCCACCGCGTCACGGCCCGCACTTCTCCTTCCCTTTCGTTGTCCAGGAAATTCGCGGGGGGCGGGGGCTGGCCTGAGGGGGCTTCCCGTTTGGACTTCGTTTGCTGCCGCCCCCCAGGCCCTTCCGGGACGGCCCCCGCGTGTTCGTGGGGCGGCGGCTTTGGGGCGAGCGCTGGCGCAGCACCTGCCTCAGAGAGCTGTGAGACCCCGGGCCTGAGACGCCCCAGGGAGCAAGAGCAGGCAGCAGAAGGGGCAGAAGCCGGGGACGGGCCGTGGGCGGCTGGAGGAGGGGGAGTCCCGGGCCACGGGCGGGGGGTGGGGGGGTGGGGGGGCGTATGTCTTTCTTGCTATTTTGTTCTTTTTTGTTTTCTTTTTTTTT